CTCCAAATCCAAGCGCACTTGCATCTGTATGTAACTCTGTATTTAAATTGGGATCAAATATGGCTAATAACGGCCTATTGCTTAAATAAGCACAGATATAACTTTTTGCTATTTCTTGATCATTACCCCAGACGAACTTTTCATTGTTTTTAGTTAATTTTGTAATACATGCGGTTCGAGTAGCAAATTCCGGTATGTATTTACGAAAATACCCGGCCAATCCCATAAACTGCCTTACTTGTTTTACATTTCGAGGATTAGGTGCGTTTAACAGAGCGGATACTTTAGATTTTCCCGGTCGCACGCCGTGTTTATTTATTTCTTGTCCCAAATATTGAATAGTTGTTTCGAAAAAAAAACATTTCTTGATATTTAACGAAAATCCCGCATTTGTTAGTGCCATTAAAACACGTTCTAATTTTGTCAATCCTTCATGAATTGAGTTTGAAGGTATTAAAAGATCATCCATATAAATTAAAACATCCTTATCCTTAAGTTCTCCCAGAGCATTGGAAATAGCCCTTTGAAAAACGGCCGGTCCATTACACAACCCAAACGGAAGACGCAAATATTCATAATGACCGTCACATGTTACAAAGGCCGTTTTTTCGACTGAATCTTTAGAAATAGGAATTTGATGAAAACCTGCGGCCATATCAAGAGTAGTATAATAAGTGTAACCACCCAGACGATCAATTTGATCTTCAATGAGAGGTAAGGGATAGCGGTCTTTTATTGTGATTTTATTTAATGCGCGATAATCCACACATAACCTGCTACTTCCGTCTTTTTTGTGAATTAACAGTATAGGGCTAGCGTATGGAGATTTACTTTCACGTATTATGTGATTTTTTAATAAATCATCAATTATTAATTTAACTTTTTCTCTTTCGGACAAGGCCATTCGATAAGGAGTACGAGAAATAATTTTGTCTTCTTTTAATTTTATTGTTAACTCAGCTGTAGTAATTGGATTTACTGAATTGCCAATTGTAACGTTACTACTAAATTTGCTAAGCAAATTCAATAAACAGTCGAGATCATAATTTTTTAAAGAAGTATTTATAATTTCGGATGATAAGGCAATATGATAATTGTATGAAATTTTATTAATATCTTGTTTTAAATAAAGACACGTTCCTCTGAAGTCGGTACTAATTTTAAGACCTTGGTGATTAAATAGGTTACGTCCTAAAATCACGTCCGCAGACATAACGTCACTGTTTACAACATAAAATAGAATTTTAAAAGCAGTGGCGCCTTTTTCAATAAGCAATGATGTCATAGCATGAGTGTAAATAAAGTTTTTACCAATACCTTTTAATTTAATAAAACTAGGTTCTAAATGACAATGCAATTTATTTGCAATATTTTCCGAGATCAAACTGCATTCTGCGCCTGTATCAATTAAACAATTAACAGTCAAATGTTGTATTTTAAAGTGAGTGGTAAAATCTTTATTTAATGTAACACTAAAATAATTTATTTCAACTTCACCTTTTTCGGCAACATCTAGTCATATTTGTTTCTTTTTATTGAAACACTTTTCAGCAAGATGACCAAATTTACCACAATTAGAACAAGAACGATTTTTAAGCTGATCAACAGTATTTTTATTTTTTGTTAATTCAGTACAATTACGACTTATGTGACCGGGTTTGTTACATTTAAAACATAACTTTGTATTATTATTAACAGAGAAAGGATATGATCGTTTTTCTCCATGTGGTTGTTTAAAAGATTCACGTTTGCTCATGGAATAATTGTTAAGTAAAAGCAATAAGTCAGAAATATTTGTCAAATTACTATTAAATGCTGCGGTTTTTACTTGAACATCCTTAATATCGCCAACAACTAATTCTATCAATTGAATGTCGGACAAATTAAAGTTTAAACTTTTTAGCAACAAGAGTTTCTTTCTGGCATACTCACTATAAGAAGTTGCATTGTCGCTGGTGAATAAGCTGGCCTTTCGTAACTTCTCGCTTAAGTTTCTCTTTGGCGGGTAGAGATTTATAATTTCTGTCTTGAAAAGCTCCCAGTTTTTCTCTAAAGGATTCCATGCAGAAAACCAGGCATTAGCTTCACCAACTAGGCCACTTGCAGCACGCGTTAATTGTTCAAAATCAGACCAATGAAATGTTTCTCCCAATCTTTCTATATGTTCACACCACTTTAAAGCACCATCACCCTCATTCGGGTTAAATTTCGGAATGTCTATAGAAGTTGAAGGCACTGACATCACTTGACGATTGCTATTGTCTTTAAGTTCTTTTAAGGTGTCCACCAAAACTTGTGTTAGATGTTCCATTGTAACAATTGTTTTTTTTTAAATTTTTCACGTAGTTTTCTTTATCCCACTTCTGATGTGAGAAAATGGCACTTTATTGATTAATAAAACACTTTTAATAACGCACAATGGTTTATTATAAAACCTCTAACATCCAATTCTAACAAAATAGTAAGGAATGTAAGTAAGGAATGATTCTCCTCCTCTCAATCCACGCTGCTCGCATTTTTAATATTCTTTTGGGTATCCCCTCCTCATATTGATTTATTGGTATATGGTTGCCTATGTTCTTTCAGATGTATGCTCACATATATTTCTATTATAATAAGCTTTGCTTTGTTTGGATGTTTTCTACCTACTGATTTATAATTCCTATTTTAGACAATGAATATATACCCGTATTTGAGGCGTTCAATCAAGTAGTTTCTGGCTGCTTTGGCCAAAACTTAGCAGATGAATAAAAAGAATACTTAAAAGAATTTAAACTACAATAATCAAAAGCTGGAATTACATGTACACCGAAGATCCATGCTCTCATTTATCATGTTCCTCAATTTATTGAAGAAACGCAAAGAGCCCTTGGTTTCTTCTCAGAGCAAGCATCGGAGCAAGTTCATCATTCATTCAATATATTTTCCAGGAATTTTAATTTATCCAGAAATAACTTAGAAAAATATAATATGAACTTGTCTTGAATAGTCAACATCTGTAGGCTTAGATTTATTTTGTTGTTTTTTACATTTTTGTTAAAGTTTATCAATTTTTACGTTTATAATTTTGAATAATGCATTTAGAAGAATAAAGTTTGAGTTTCCTACTATCGTATGAGTCTTTTAAATTAAAAATATTGTACAAATATTAACTTTGAGACAGTTAAAATATTTCATTATACGATACTACACATAAATTACGAAGAATTGATCGCTATTTCCCAAGATCTACATGAAAGATTTTCATTTTACTTTTTTTGGATACCCTGCTTAAAATACCCCATAGAGACCTATACAAAATAATCTATCGGGCGCTACCGGATTCTATATGTGCATTTGTCCATAGGTTTTTCCGGATACAGCCCGATAGAAAATGTATAGGAAATTACCTATAGGCACACCATAACTTTTACATTTTCCCTATTGAGACCGATAGAAAATAACTCAATGAAGGATATATACTATATTATATAGGGATATCCCTATAGAGCAACCATAAAACATTTGACAAAATTTTATTAAAACCTATAGGGTCCTATAGGGAACAAACTAATTTCTACATTTATGTGTATTTTCCCCATTGAAACCGATAGCAAATAAATCAATGGTGGATATCCCTATAGAACAACCATAAATCTCAACTACGGGTCCTATACAAACCGATACACCCTATAGAAACACCATACATCCCGATACAAATATCTATCGGTTTAAACAGGGTCTCTATGGGGTATTTTAAGCAGGGTACTTAGTTGGTAAGTATTTTTTTTTTAAATGTTTCAAAGTTGTTCTATTTTTTTCGTTAAAAACGGTGTTTGGTGAACCGTGTTAGCCAAGATATCCACAAAATCTCGAAAACGTCCCGAGGGATTACCTAACTGTTATTAGGAAGGGGTATTAGGACTATCAAGCTCAACTGCCCTGTGATTGGGGATTTGGAATTTTGAAACAAACATCTCTTTTTTTAACACCCTGTAGTATCATGCTATGTGCACAATATCGTATTCCCAAAATTAGACATAAGAGTCAAAGAATCAACTTTTGCTCATTTTTTGGACTAAAATGAAGAATAACGTGAAAATCTCGAAAACGTCCCGAGGGATAACCTAACTGTTATTAGGAAGGGGATTTGAAATTTTTGAAAAAAAAACACTTTTTTTAACACCCTGTAGTATAATGCTAAGTGCACAATATCGTTTTCTTAAAATTAGACGAAAGTCAAAGAATCCACTTTTGCTCATTTTTTGGACTAAACTGGGAAATAACGACAATTTTCGAAAAATTGGCATATAAACAAAGTAAGCCACGATATTCACAAAATCTCTTACTTATATTAGGAAGGGATATTACGACTATCAAAGTCAACTGCCTCGTGAATGGGAATAACTTGAAATTTCGGAAAAAAATACATCTCTTCGCTTAACACCCTGTAGTATAATGCTATGTGCAAAATATCATATTCCCAAAATTAGACACAAGTCAAAGAATCAGCTATTCAGATTTTCAAAATCGATTCAGTAATTTTCCAATAACGAACTTTCAAATATTTTCCAAAAAACTATAGGTGCGTCGATTTTTATGACAAGCAGTTTATTTGGATTGTAAAAGGAGAACCAATATATAATTTTAACGTTTTTGATATTTTTCAAAACAAATTTTTAGTTCATAAGGTCGAAGGTGACCTGATTTGGGTTAAACCAATATAATTCCTTAAAATTTATTACAAATGTCCAAAATTTAATCAACGTTCTGTAATTGATTAACTTGCAATAAATAACTTTAAAGAAATTAATGTAATGTAGTAAATCAGTTGTCGGTCAAATATTAGAGATTTGTATTTAATTTATACTCCGTATCTACAGGTACAAGAGCGGCTCTAGAAAAGCCTACTCTTTGAGCTCCATGAATTATTGACCAAAAAGTTTTCTGCATACTGTAAAGTATGTCTGGGCGTAATGTGAGTTGCCTATCTTCAGTCGACACTTTTACTTCCATGTTCTGACACAGATTCTGTGTCCCTTAACCTCAAAAGTAAGGTTGATCAGCTGTTATTTTTATAAAATTTTAGTGCAAAATGCATGTAGATTTAGCTTCGCATTTGCACACGGACAAGTGCAACGAGTTAATAAAACTGCTAAAAGATTGTCACGAACAGAATCCAGCGCTAAAGTTTTTTGGGATTTGTAATAGTTATGACAGCGATATGAGGGGCTGCTTAAGGCAAGAAAGGTTGGTTAGGACGAGGAAAAACTTTGAAAAATCTGTGGAAATGAAGCAGAAAATGAAGCAGATATGGGAAAGAAAACGTCTAGAAGGCGAGTTATAAGCTAGATCAGACATTATAAATATTTTGTTTAGAATAATAAATTGTAAGTTTTATAATTGAGTTTTTATTGGATATTTATAATATTATTTAATTGCACATTTTAAAATAACTTATAATATAATATTTTATATAAAATCAGGTTTTAACTTTATTAAACTATGAAAAAAGAATAAAAGAATTCTATTCCATTAATGGAATAAAATTGATAGGTAACAATAATTTATATTTTTTATTTTAGTTCCATAAAATAAAACTAGAAGTCGCTATTTATGTATTCTATTAACTTTACAACTGTGAAGAAAACACGTAAAAACCGATAAATCCATTTTTACATTTTAAGAGTACAGTAGGTACCTACTTACCAATTCTTACTAATTTTGGTAAACTCTTTTGACCTGACATGGGTAGCATTTCAAGGAAAACCCGAAGCAGAGATAACACAACAGAAGCAACATTCCCTTTTAATAGTTTATAAATATTTGGCCAATACTTCAGAATAAGTATACAGGATGTCTATTTAAAAATGACCAATGCTCTATAAAACCTATAAAATGATAAAAAATTTCTTAAAAGCGTTTCTAGGATATGTGGGGGAATCAGTTTGACCAAAAAAATGACCAGTCCAAATCTGACACCGTTAGACTTTTTCTTATGGGGTCACTTAAAATCTGTGGTCAACAAAATGCCTCATTTTATTGAAGATCTGCGACAACGAATAGTTTAGGAACGCCGAGCTATTCCACGAAAAACATTTTAAAATGTTTGAATGGAATTTGAGAATAGACTGTAAGGTACCTACTATAATCAATATTGCTTACAAAATATTGGAAATCATTTAGAGCATTTTATTTAAAAAGCTAAAAATTAATTAATTATTGCTGAACAGTTTGTTTATTTATGCTTTTTTAATTTATTATTATATTTTGTTAGAATTATTTTGTGGTCTCCAGTTTTTTTTACTAATGTTTATACGACAACAAAATGGTTTAATTTAATTTTTAATGGTTTAATTATCTTGTGTATTGTTTAAAGATTAAACTATTAACTATAGTGTTGCGTTTTGCAACGTTACTGAATCTCTTTTTAATACCATACCTACGTTTGTAAGTATTTATTTCTTTACGATTGTTTTTGTCATTTTAATATAATACCTAATAATAAACTTTATTGGAAAATCCAAATGGCTAACGACTTACGTCTTCCTGCCCTGTCATTTTAAATTACGTTTTTTTGGAAGTTAGAAACGTTTCCAGACTTTTTTTACATCTTGCGTTCCTTTTTTTTTGAGTTAGCAAACCCGATCACTCTTAAACTTGACTGAAATTTTCTACCCCCCTAAAACATTTCTGTAAAGTCTTCAATTTTTTTTATCCTTCGAAAGAACTTTTAATTCCCCAAATTTTTTATATTTTTTTTAAATTTATTTAAATTAATTAAATTTTTTCGCAATCTAACATTGATATTATAATAAAATTGTTATTATAAAAAAAGTTAGATTGCAAAAAAAATAAAAGACAAGTTGAGGTTAGCGGCAATTAGGCATAATAAATAGTAAGTAAAAAAAAATATTTTTATTTTTATTTCATTTTATTTTCTAAAAAGCAAGTTTACAAACGAAAACAAAAACGTCTCAAGAAGTCAGTCTGCACCAATTTTTTTCGGTTGGGTGAAATTTGAATAAATGTACAAAAACTTTTGTAGTGGGATAATACAATATATCAAAATTTTAGTCAAATCAAAAGGGGTTGGGTTCAAGAGTTACCGATTTGGCGTAATATGCCCCCTGCGCCGAGCAATTGAGCTGAACAAAAAATATAGTCTACAAATCGACTTTACACAGTAAAAAAAAATCAACTCTAAGCAACACTAATTAGAGTTCACACAGGTCCACACTAAACAGTGTTGTTTTATAACACTGCAATTAGAGTTAATTTGTAGTGTAATTTTCCCCAAGTAAGCAAGTATGATTTAACACTATAGCACTGAGGATAAAGTAATTTTACACTGTATTAAAAAGTGTTTATTTACCTAAAATCGTGTACTTCTACACTTCCTGGGTAAAATCCCACTTTTGTTCAGTGTAAATTAACACTACTTTGAAAAAGTTCTAATTTTAGAAAGGTACTTTTACTCTTTTAGTGCAAACTTCGAGTGTAAATTAACACTATTATTTGAGTAAAACCTATTGGTGGTAGTGAATAAAACCAAAGGTAAATAAAGAGAAACATTTATTTGGAACAAAAATCTATGACAATTATCAAAATCGGTGCCTTTTAAAATATAATTTTATATTTGAGTCGTATGGTTGACTTAAGCAAAATGGTTCCTTAAAACGTAAAAGTTTTAGATCAATGCAATGTTTTACTGGCTGTCAACTTGTAAGCAATGAATTATCTTGAGAATTCATCAATAATCCATTTTTCTGCTATAAAAAATGGGTGATCCCATGGTAGAGAGGCGTCAGGTATATGTTAATATAACAACCATTGCGAATGAAAATAAAAAGTAAATCAAGTGTGTATGTATTTATATTATTAATGTTACAAGTACCTGACCTACTGCCGTAAATTATTGATATATAATATAGGTCAGGTATGGACAGCCTTTTAGCTTATTGGTATTTATTGAGTATTAAGGCTTAAAGAAAAAGGAAGTATAATACTTACCAAAAAATAAGAATGTCCCCTTGTGGATTCACCGTAATTAAAATCTAACTGAACAAAAATGCCACACTTCCACAACGCGGTATCTCCGGATATGCACTGCGTAGGTTTTTAGGTACCAACCAAACATTTTAAAACGCATTTTGGTTATTACCAGTTTTTTCAGTCTATTTTGCCACTATTGGTGTAATTTAACTTTAATTGTGATACAATGTGCACTAGTAGTGTAAAGAAAAAAGAGCTTTTAGTAACATCAAAACAGACAAAGAAATTGGCATGCACTGTAGTGTACATTTTGTCACTATTTAACACATTAAGGGGTAAGGGGTATTTACTCGCATTAAGTTTTTCTACCCTTTTGATTTATTTTAATAATAAATAGTGTGAATGTACCAATGAATAATGTTCATATTCTTTAAATGTTTTTAATAAAGTTAATAAGCACTAAATGCTACCTACTGTATTTTGTAGTGTTACTTTTACACTTACAAATCAATTCTAATATTTTTACCCCTACACCACAATTCATTGTGCCATTGTGCCCTACACTAAAAAATTTACACGGGCAAAATTGTTTACTGTGTATCCTCAGTAAAGTAGTTGATGTGGATAGTTCGTTATTTCTGTGCTTTTATTTTCTTTTGATTCGATAAAAAATGGTTTACCTATTTTATTGCGGATAAAGAGGAAATTATTAAATTATATTTTGTAAACAATCAATGGGCAAGATTAACGGCAAATTTGTTTAATGGAAGGCATGCAAATAGACACGTATACATGGTTACATCCTAAAATTAGTAGCAAAATTCCGGCAAACTGGTTCAGTGGCAAATAAATAACGAGATATTGAAAATCCGGTGAGAAATGAGGGAGTAGAAGTAGCTGTTCTGGGTGAAATTACTTTGCACCCTAAATTAAGTACCAGAAAACTTTCTGATGTGAAAAAATATGGGTGAATATCGCCACCGCTCAGGGGTTGAAGTAACAGTAATGAAATTAGTGTGTAAATATGTACCCCTGAAAACTAAAGTATGAGTCCGAAGATTTTTTTTTTAATTTTTACATACAAACCGTAAACCTTGCTGAACGGTTTTCGATGGGCCACCCTGAATACTTCTTTAATATAATAACATACACTATTAAATTTATTATAATATATATGAGCATAAATTTGAAATGGTTATATTCGATATTCGCGGAATTAAAAACTTTTTATAATTAATAAAATACCACAAAACCAAAAGAAAACACTTTAAATTCTAATTCTAAGTTAGGCTATAAAAATATCTAAAAATAAAATAAATTGTTTTTAATCGATATTTTTAAAAATATATGTTTTTTTCACCGTTTTGTAGCTTGTGTCTAATTATCATGAAATCTTTGCGTGTGGGAAAGACATCAACTAACACTAACACTGGTCGACAGCAACTTTGCCAGAAACTTTTCTGGGGTAATTTTAGTGCGCTGATATTTCGAAAAATACGTCTTTGTTGACATGCAAAAATTAAAATTCGTATATATATTTTCTAAATCAAATACTTTAACCGAGTATCATTGGTAATGTAGTTATGGGTCCTAATTAAACTAAAAAATACAAATTCATGTTTTTTTTCTAAAATTTAAAAAAATTTGTATCTTTGGTTATCTACTTTATTGTGTTAAAATTTTTACAAAATCAAATAAAAATGATCAAAATAGGACTCAAAACAACCGCGCGTCAAAATTTATATTTACGGTAATTTACGGTCCTGGCGCTTCTATAGAGAGTTATTATTACTTTTTTAAAGAGTTATTGTTATTTTTTTAAAGTCGTATACGTCGTGGATATTATTTGTAATAATATCCACATTCATGATAAAAAATACGACTTTAATGCCAAGGTGCATATTAAATTTTATTTGAAATCACATTTAATAATACTAATAGTTAATATTGATAATTAAATCAAATGCCAATCGACCTCCGCGACGGTGCTTTTTTTAAATATTATTTAGTTGCTGCTGAGGAGCAGTAGACACATCTTAAATCGGCAGTAAAGTAGAACTTTACTGCCGATTTAAGATGTGTTTTTTTTACTTTACTGCCGATTGTTGACTACTTTACTGCCGATTTCAGATAAAAATTGTTACATCACTACATTACATTTTAAAAATTGTCCAATTTTGGCTTTAAACGATTTATTTCGATATAAACCTAATTTGTATATCTAATGAATATTTTTAGTTTATTTAAGACCTATAGATACATTACCAATATTCCTGAGTTACAATAGGTATATTGAAAAACAAAAGCGTATTGAGCAAAATTATGATCATTTTTGGAATTAGCGTAAATTATCCTAAACAAAAAAAATTCATTTTGTCGAGTGTTATTTGTATGAAGTTTTCTTA